TATATATATATATATATAATGCAATGTAAATAATATTTTTAGGTTACTTACAAATGGTTAAGCAAAGAACTACAGGTCCATGTTAATATAGCAAAACAAATCTTGTGGAATTTTTATCAAAAGTATCATAGCAGCAATAACATAGAATGCACATATTTATTAATAGGTCACCTAAAGGAAAAAGGAATGCATGTGGAAGTTGTTAGAGATTCTGATGTATCTAAGGCTAAAGAAAAATTTAGTAAAATTATTTCAGAACATGTTTACAGTGTCCACAAGCCAATCATGGATCTGCAACTGCTTGCCACTGCTAATTCTGGTGATATAAAATATAGTGCGATAAAATTTGACGCCAAAATGCGAAGTGATGAAGAAATGCAATTATTACGTTGGGGTACAGCTGCTAAACAAGTTACAATAGAAAATGTGTTAGATTTTAAGTCTGTAGATTCGACAAATTTGTGTATGACAGAAAAGAATACTACTAAAAAAATATCGCCCCAAACAGAGAATTTAGTGAAAAAGGGAAGTTTGGATTATTTCTTTGGTAAGCTGATAGTTCCTTCAAAATCTGTAGAAGTAATGTCATCTGAAAAGAAAGACAATAATGCCAGAAAAGAGCTTATTGAAGAAAAAGTAATTAGAGAAAACAAGAATTTACTTGAAAGAAAGTGGAACAGAAGCAAGGAAACAGATGAAATAGCTAAGAAACGGAAAAGAACTATTACACAGAATGATTCCAGTGATTCAGAGATACAAAATGGTGTAGAGATGAAAGAATCATTTCCTCAAACAGAGTCAGAAACTCTTGTAAAACCAAAAAGTCTAGTTTCAGAAAATAAGAAAGAAAAAGAAAAGACAAGGAGAAAAGAGAAGAAAGCAGAGACTAAAAAAGTAAAGAAAAAACAGTCTACGTTAACAAACTTTTTCAAGAAATGTTAGGAATTGCTTCAAAATTATCTAAAAGTAAGAAACGTTTATTTATTTTTTTAAATAATTTAAATACAATACATTATTTATTAATAATATAATATGATGTGATATTGATAAAAGTATCATATTAATAATAATAAATAATGTACACAAAATTAATAAATTATGTTTTTTGTTCTTGTCACTCTCCATTAATTTTATCGGCATATTATATTTTTATATTATTATTATTATTGTTGTTGTTTCTTATACTTCATGCCAATAGTTTTTTATCGTTATTATTTGATAACAGAATGGTAATTACTGATAATTAATTTTTACAGATGAATAAATTGTGCCACTGAGTGAATACCAGGATGCAAATAATTTTAATGATGAGGATATTATTATTATTATTATTATTATTAGGCGTTAGGAACTCGAAAGCTCATTGCCGCAAATACCAAATCCCGCCACTGTTCTAGAAAATCCCGCAAAATCCCGCCACTTTATCTAGAAACAACCAAAACTCGCCATGGAGGATATTATATTTTGTCAAAACAAAATTAAACACTTTTTTGCTTGAACTAAGGACTAAGAGAAAATGAAGAAAATCATGAATTTTAGAGGACATAATTTGAGCATTTTAGTGATAAGTAAAATCGCTATGCGAGACTACATGTTTTGTCATTTGTTAGCGAACCTATTAAAAAATGTGACATATATGTGTAAGGTATTAGAAGTACGTGAAGCAAA